CTTTGTCTTAAAACAAGCTAGTAGGGAAAAAATGCACTGATACCTGATAGAGTTTTGCAGGGCCCTTGGAACCAACTGGTAACTCCTGAAACTTTCTCTTCTGTGGAGGCCGTTTCTCCTTCTCAGACGTGAAACTAATATTTGATTTTGTTCCTGGGTTTGAGACTGCTGTTGCTGGAGTGACTGATGTTGCTGGAGTGACTGATGAGGTGATGGGAGCAGATGAATGTCTGAGGGCTAGGGCAACTTGCTGTAAAGGTGTTGCCTGAGGATATATCCCTTCATATCCACTATAGCTTGTTCCTCCAGTTAATATAGGCTGGGGGTAACCAACCATATTTTGTTGGGGCTGTGCACGGTTCATCATTCCTCCAGACTGTACCGGAGTGCCTTGAGAAGAGACAGTAGCAACCCCAGGGGCGGTAACAGAAGAAACTGCAGGAACTGGTGCAATGCTCACTGTTGATGTCAATCCAGAACCAGAAGTTGCATTTAGTTTTTGTTCATCCCCATTACTCTGAATGCCAGACAATAACTGTTGTGGGGGTGGAACAGCATTATAGACTTTGGATGATGAAACCCTAATATAGGCAAACAAAAAACCGCATTATTCCTTATATAAAATTACATACTACCATGCATAGCAGACCAATGTGATCATGATCAACATCTGTTAACATAAAGAAGATCTCATCCAAAGAGAACAAAACTATGAAATGATCAAAATGCAACAGAGTAAGACACAGAAATCTATTACTGCAGAACTTTCAAGTAAATGTCAGTTTTACATTGTCCAATTCCGAATCCAAGCTATCAATTGATGGAAGCAAAAATCTCATTCTCTCACTTTTTTGGGAGATTTAGAACAGACATAAACCCATAGCAGTACGCATCAAACACCTTATACCACCGCAAAATGAAACCATATTACCTGGAGGCACCACACTCTACACTAATTGTATCCAAAAGATTCTCAGCCAAACGCTTTGCATCTTCCAGACTTTTAGGATTGCTACTGGACAAGAATAAATGCAGTGGTTGATGCACATCTGCAACCAGAATGGAGGATATATTAAAATACATTTTAAGAGAACTCCCAGAGGTAAAAATCAATACACTTGCAATAAATCACAACAGATACAGCAAACTAGTACCTTCGCCATGCAGGCCTTCAAAGTTACCCGAACCACGCCCTCTTAATAAGACAGTTGCTCCTGTTTCATTCATAATGTGATTTATATACTGGTCCTGCATGTACAAAACGGAACCACCAGCAACGCAAAAACAATCTCTCCCAATCATATGGAGATGTCAGAGAAAGTTTAAAACATTAGAATCTCTTGTCTTCATCATGTAAACATAAAATTCAAAATGAACAAACTAAACAGTTCAGATCAAACCAGTAAATGAGTAGATGAAAGCGAAAAAATAATAATAACAATAAATGACGGGAAAAAATGCAAAATACTATATAACACAGCTAGCAGATATTACCATAAAGTTCCAGAGTCAAAACAGCAAAAGCAGCTGTTATATATATATGTAGAGAGAGAGAGAGAGAGAAACAACTCCAAATCTCTTAAGAAGATTACACATATGCAGACGATGTGAACAATGGAAGGAAAAGAGAAATCTCACATTTGGTCCACGAATACGAGCAGCAATGTTCAATGATGGATCAGGCTCAAAGCTTAAAAACACACATGTGCTGAGTTCCTGTGCAACCAAATTTAAGTAGAGATTTAAAATGTTGAAATATGTCATAACTCACAAACCCAGTGGTGTGATGCAGGTATACCTTCACCCCGTTGCTCATACTTAGCAAAGTGGGAAAACCATTCTGACCCTGCTTCAGCATTTCTTCAACCATGGCAGCTGCACGATCAACCGCCAAAATCCTTTCTGCTGTCTCTTTCAACTGAAGAAGTAATCCATAATTTAACAATAAAATAAAATAAAATCAGTTCTAAAATATTAGAGAGGAAAATTGGATCTTAGAATTTTCATTATTTTTGAAACACAAAGCAAGACGAAGTATGAATAAGTACCTCAAAGATTGCTGAACAAAATGTTTAGCTTTTTGGAGGCAAAGAATAAAAAGTTGTCTAAAAACAAGTTATTTAGAAGTTCGAAAAATATTTGAACATTCTTCAACAATCTTATTCTACATGTGATCACAAACCTCCGCTACCATGTAAACATCTCACACATTCACGTCATCAAAAGTCCAATTACCTAGGTTCTTGAGAAAGATAATACCAGAAAACTAGCTCTCACTAGCTCACTAATACCATCAAACTCAATCAGAGAAGTCTGAATGGTCAGATACATTTTTTTTTTTTTTTTTTTTTTTAAATCATTTTTCATTTTGCGTGGATTCTAAAATATCATGTCCAAGATTGCAATGGAAACTTATTTTCTTAACATAATCAAAAGTATATATAATATAAATCCATACAGCATGATTAGAACTCCAAATCCCAACCATGCTATTGTTAAATGCTCCATAAGAAATCAATCCCTCATACTTACATGAGCCCCAGAAGATATGTGAAGATATAATGGCTTTTCTCCATCAGGTGGTGCATTTGGTGGACGATATTTACCCCTGCAAAGGCAATGCCACATATGCATAAAAAATCTAAGAGAAAGAGAGAAGCCATCAGAAAACTTCATCTTATAATCCTGTAAAGGCCCACAAACCTAGTTATTACCACAGCACCAGTGCATTTCTGAATCTGCAAGAACAGAATAAATGTATCAATGTCCTCAAGAAATAAATGGCTAGTCCTCAATTATAATAACAATAGATTACTTATCCTTCAGTCAAACAAAAATAAGAAAATCAAACTGACCTCCTCCTGTGTTTGGCGTTTAGTAAGTTTGTAGCGAACAGAAGATTCGGCATCATTTATAACAATTTCTCGTGCAATTATTAACTCATCTTGAATCTTAGGCTGAAAAGAAAACAACAATGAAAAATTCCATTCATAATCCTTAAAAGAAATGTAAAACAAGCCTTAAATGACGTAAGTTGCAAACTTTACAATTACAATGCCAAATCAACTGAAATATATGCCAAGGTTCAACAAAAACTTATAAGAGAGTACAAACATAATAATAATATGGACCATATAATTTTCCTATCTGGTCCATATCACAGCAATATAGAGGTCTCTAATCACCTATCATTGGGTGCTTGAAGAAAATATGTGAAGGGCACAACTTCAAAGAGGCCAAAAAGAAAACTCCTTTCAGCCAACTATACTGGTAGGACCATAGAATTTTCCCACTGGAGGTTACAGTAGAGCTTTCAATATATAGGACACTTAACACACAGAAGACCCAGAAGTTCAAAAAATACAGAGCAGGCCAATCCAAGTGATTCTTAACTCAGGATAAGAAACCAAGACTTTCCCAATGACTACCCGAATAGACATCTTGCCTGCTACTTAAAAAACCAAAGGGATTTGAACTTTAAATCTTATGAAACCGATTCTATCTCGTAATGCATCTGACCATAATGGAGATTAAATTTTTCATTCATTTATTTTATCAGCAGTCCACAAACATATGTAGCTCAAAATTCTTTGTATTAAAGAACACAACACAAACGCATATGGGTCTGAGCATAAACCGTGTATTTGCCTAGTGAGAAGCACTATGGTACTTTCGCCTTCATGTTACTAGATCAGTCACAACATGAAAATAGTAGCACTTACAAATCACACTCTATGTATTACTGAAACAGTTTCGTGTACAATTCATATTATGTGTCCGGTAACATTACAAAAAATTATCACAAAAAATGCAACAAAATTGAGACAATTAAGGAACCCCATAAAGCAACATATCTCACCTGACTTAATTTCGGCACAGAAGGGCCCTGAAGCGCCACAGGTGGAATGGCCACACCACTAGCCCCTATTGGATTTGTCAAAAATGCGGCAGCAGCAGAGACAGATGGAGCCACGCCCGACGGCAGAACCCCAACAAGGGATCCCATGTTGCCCAACGGGTAGTTAACTAACGACTCCGCAGGCTGATCCCACTTCCTCTTTTTCCTACAAACAAACAAAAGCATTGCGAAACAGGTCAATTCAAATAAAATCATTCTCAACCTAGCTACAACCTAACGAATTAACAAGTCACTCACCAATTAGAAACCATTTTCTACAATTAGTAGGAAAAAAAATTATTCACAAACAAGCATTGCAAAACAGATGAATATTTTCATTTTCAGTCTCAACATAATGGAAAAAAAATTAAACAATTACTCACCAATAAGGAACGGTTTTATTAAAATAAAGAGAGTAATTCAAGAACCTCAAAAAGATGCATCGAAATAAAACAATTTTCAATTTGTAATTACGAGAGAAGAAAAGGACAACGGATTTTAGGATTTTAAGCTGACTACCTTTGCTTAATTTGGCAAGCGTCCGTCGAGAGGGCGGAGTGGTCGGAGGAAACCCTAGGAGCGCTGTCTTCTGTCATGTTTTGTTTGGCGTTGGAATTGAATAAACGGGCGAAAAACAGATAATAGTCTTGTGGCAGGGTGGTGATGAAGATTCGTTGAGTTTAAGAGTTAAGGTTTGTTGTAAGCGGTGGTCTTGGGAGGTGGAGATGTGGTTGATTTGGCGGAATTGAAGAGAATCACCGCGAACCGGTATTGATAACCAATGGTTACCCGCCCGCGTTACTCCAGTCACGTGGATGACGACTGATATTTATTATTAGATGTTTTGCTTTGGGCTCCAGAACAAGAAGCTGGAATAGCTCAGTTGGTTAGAGCGTATGGCTGTTAACCATAAGGTCGGAGGTTCGACCCCTCCTTCTAGCGAGCATTTTTTAATTTCTTTTATTAATTTTTCCCACCCCCCGAGAAATGCTTAATATCCTAGGGCACCCATTATTTTTAAAAAGTATAAACACATCCTAGAATATTGAAAAAAATTATTCATTCCATTAAATTATTTCATAATACAACATATACAACATTCTCATGCAATATTATGTGGCAAAAGATAATTGGGTGAAAGTTTAATTTTAATTTAAAATCAGTCAATCATATTTTATCACATAATATTGTATAAAAATATTGTATGTGTAGTATTACTCTAAATTATTTGTTACTCAGTCTAAAAAAATGCTCTTTCTTAATTTGTTCAGGTCCCAAACCTAATCATTTTATCATGATATATTACTTTATATTCTTTTCACTTTACTTAATATTTCCTCTCTCTCACTCATTACCCCCTCCTAAACTTTTTTATCAATTCATTTATTTCATGGCTTCTACTAACTATTTGACATATTGATATTCATTCCCTTTCGCTTTCCATTGATCAACAATTGGAGATCATTTCTATTAACGAAATAAAATCATTTATGATATAAAATAATAATCATAAATATATTACCAATTGAGTTTTTTTATTAAATGAAGCTTGGGTACTTCATTTGATTTGGTCAAGCCAAGACCCAAGTCGATAATAAATTAATTTAATTGCTAACCTTCTCATAAAATGGATCTACTTGCACTTCACGCCAAATTTTTTATAACTCCAAATTTTTTTTAGGGACAAAAAGGAGGATGTCTCAAAATTTCTTTACTCAAATTCCCAACTAAATCAATGATATATAAATTCACTCATTTAATACAAGCCTATAAAATCCAACAAATCAATCATGAAGTCAATAAGGAAGCCAAACAACTCTCAACTAGAAACCTTGGTAAGTAATTCACCTAACCATTATAAAAAAAGGATAAGCGGCTGGGGTGGTTTTCTATACTTTTCAAAATTTTCGGATTCTTCAGAGCTAAGTAAAGAAAAACCCGAAAAAAGAGCACAGATATTGGGGCATTCCGAGAATTGAACTCGGGACCTCTCGCACCCTAAGCGAGAATCATACCACTAGACCAAATGCCCGCTGCGTGCTCAGAATGAACAGAAATTTAATAGGAAGTCTCTGAAATGAACGAACATAAAGAGAGAGATTGTGGTCCTATGGCTTCTGCCAAGTCGTAATGGGAAGTATTGGAATGATGCAGTCTAAACTGTCGGTTTGTTATAAAAATGAAAAGCAAATTTGAATAAATGACATGCCCATATAAGAGACCAAATCCCATCTCCTTTCTATAATGTTTTGACATTACAAATTAAACGACTATTTTCCACCAAGTTTGCCTTAATGACATTTTGCCCCCTTAAAAGTTTCAAAATATCAAAATTGCCATCCATGAGAGTTCCGTTAGAAGTTTTCTTGATATAAAAGGGTATAATGGTCATTCGACTGATAAAAGTAAGGGCATTATTATCATTGTATTTGTAATAAAAAATTAAAATTTGAAATTGAAGTGTAGGGTTGGGGCATTGACAGGTGTCCATGCGAGTTTGACATTTGAACGAAAAGGAGCAACGCAAAAGTCATTTGACATTTGCATGTTCTGGAAGCAGAGACTGTTGGGTTTTTTGTTGACGTCTTCGATTGCCTTCTGGTGACTGTTTAGGGTGACCGGTGAGTGTTAACGGCGAGGTAGACTGGCAGTGGAGTAGCGGTTGGCGAGTTTTGCGTTTTGCGTTCGTGTACATTGTTAACGGTAGGAGTTAAGGGTTGTTGACAACGACTTTTTCTGGCGAAAGATGAGGTTTTCCGCGACTTCTAGTGACAAGTTGGTCTTCTGAGTCGCGACTTTTGAAGTTCGTAATCATTGAGGCTGTCAACGATAAGGTTTAAGGGTGCGAGTGTTTGAACTTTTGGAGGTAATCACGTTTGTTTATACTTTTTTTGTTTTCGTTTACTGTAGGTTGTGTTGGAAAGAAAGGTATTTTTCGTTTTGGTGTTTTGTTTACGATTTGGTTAATGGCAGGAAGTATGTTTATTGTTTTTGTGTACCTTAGGGTTTATGGCGTAAAATTATGTTTATCCTTTTAGTTTACGATAGTGTTTAATACAAAGGAATATGTTTGTTTTGTGGTGATTTGATGATACTGTTTGCTAAAAAAAAAAAAAACTTTGTTTTGATTAGTTAGGTCGAGGATAAGAGTCACAAGTTTGGAAAGACGGGTCTGACTCTTGCTGAAATCGGTGTTATTCTTCCGGACTCTCATGGTAATGCTAAGTGCAAGAGCATTACTGGAAGCAAGCTTCTGCGTTTGTTAGGAAGAGGAAGGACAAACCGTTTGGTTGTTGTTGAGAGCAAGATCGAGAGGATTGCTCCCTACTACAATGAAAGAAAAAAGGTTCTCCTGTCTGGAAGTAGTAAGCCTTCACCACTGTTCAAGTGTTGTAATTTTGTGAATTTACACTGTTCACCACTGTGTGGCTGTTAGCTTAAGTTTGGAGTTCATGCAATGACAGGTATAATGTTTTAACCTTTGTGTGTTTGTTTTGTTATTGTGTAGCTGGACAAACTGAGGATTTTTAATGTGCCAAAAGTTGAATTTAGAGGTGGTTTGACAATCATTTTTTCCCTTAGAAAGTTCCTCCAAATCATGCAGGTGGTATTTTCATTAGTTCCCATGGCTTGTTCTGTATAATCAATCCATACTTGGGAGGTTATACCCATTTTTGTTTGTCAACCTAAGAAGTCCTGTTTTTTGTTATCAGTGAATGGACTAGTGAATAGAGAAGTAGATGTTCTTTATTGTTTTGTCACATCGCATAAAAGTGAGTTGAGGAAATAAAATTCTTATAGGAATTAATTTGATTATATATTTATATCATACTTANTCCACTTTTCGGAAGTTTTCTATTAAACCTGGGTTTAGAGTAATTTGTGGTGTATCTAGAAGGTTGGGGCTCAGCCCAACTCAGCCCAGCAAAAAGGAGCCCGACCCGGCCCAATTAAAAGGTCGAGAATCATAGAATGATATAAAAGCTGCTTCTTCTTCTTCACCGTTTGGCCTCTTTTAGTGCGCAGACAAGGAGAAGAAGAGTGGAGATGGGGAAGAAAGCTAAAGGGTCGAGAAAGGGAAAGAAAGCATGGAGGGCAAACATAAGCACAGAGGACATAGAAGATTACTTTGAGAAATCAACTAAAGATGCGCTCTCTGGTGGTTCTCTCTCTCAGCTTCCTAACGAATCACTTTTCTTTGTTGACAAGTCCAAAGGTTAGCTCTGCTTTAACCTTAACCTTTTAACTCAATATGGGTTGTTTTATTTTTTTTTTCATTTCTTTATGAGCTGAGTAACAAACTATTGAAAATTTAAGCGAAAGCAATATTATAAGGTTGAGAACTCATGCGTGTTTTTATAAGCTTTCAGAGAATTAAGGGTTTTGCTTGTGAAAAACAAGTAATTTAGATGTTAATTTGTATGTTTTTTCTCTCTTTCGTTTGTTTCTGTCTTTATTTATCTTAACTTTGAATTTGTTTTTTTTTTTTTTTAAATTATGCTTAGTATTAATATAAGTTAACATAATTGGAAGAAGCTGAAAATTTAAGTGGAAAGCTATACTCTAGTTGTTGATGGTGATAAGATGAAAGCTTATGAGTATTGCTATTAGGTTTCAGAATGTAAAGATTTTGCTTATGAAACCAGTGAACTTTTGCTTGTGAGAATCATTGCTCTAGGTTTATTGGTTTTGTTATTTTTGTGACTTGAATTTCTCGGTTTTTTTCATGCCAGATCTTTCTGTGAAGAGGAAGATTGAGAAACATAGGGAGAAGGTGCTGCGATGTGATAGTGTACTGCAAAAGAATCCCTTTGTTCAAGCATTGCCATCATCCAAGTCAAAGCAGAAGAAATCGAAGAAAAAAGATAAAGGCATTGCAAAAGAAAAACTTTTGACTCAAGATATTCCCAAGGTCAGCAATTATACGAGTAATATCAATATGTTTCTATATTGGATGAAACTGATTATGCGTTTCAATTTATTTTCTCTAGGGTGATGGTAGCAGTGATTCTGGCATGGCTGACATTTGGTCAAATGAAGGTATTTTGCACAACCATCAGTTTTAGCATTTTCAGGGGTTTTATTTTTAGATTATGTGTTTGAGACACTTCTTATGAAAATTTTGCAGGTGAAGGTGACAATAAATCGAAAAAGGTAAACTATTGTTACTACTATTTAAATGCAATTGTGAAATGCCTTTTTGCTGCCATAATTGCTTTTGAGCATCTATTCTACATGTGACACTGTAGATATCATTTTTGTTTTTTTTCTTTAATTTCATTGTGTTTTATCTCATTGGTATATAACATGAAATCCATGATGTCATTAAGTCATTCTGAATCATAGAGGCAATGTTTGAATGTACTTTTAAGATGATGGGCATTTATATTTAGCTTTGTGATGGTTGTTAGTTGACAGTAGAGCCATTGACAGGTCTCTAAACCTTCGGTTATTCCAGCAGTAGAAGTTGAACCTGCAGGGTGCTCATTCAATCCCTCATTTGAAAGTCATCAGGTAAATTCAATGTTTGTTTGATGCTTTCTTATTTGCTGGCTCATATAGTTTCCAGAAAGTAACCTGTTCATCTCGTTTATCTCAATCCAGGAATCATTGGCTGTAGCTGTTGCTGAAGAAATGCAGAAAATCTATCAAAATGAATTGGGTCCTAAACCAGTTCCTATAACTGTTCCAGGAAAAGTGATTGATGAAGAAGATGTGAGTTGCTTTTGTTTCTTGCACTTATCATTTATTTAAGAACTCTGTGGTGTGAGTATTGTGATTGTATGATGTCCCCTAAAAATTGTGAAGTACTTCAATCTGCATTTTTAATTATATGCCTTAACCAGAGCCTTACAAAAAATTATTACTTTTAGAGATACTTTCTTGAGGTGGATAATGGCAGTGATGATGAAAATGTGGAGAATTTGAGCGAAAATGAAGAAACTGAACTTGAGAACAGGTTAGCTTTTTATGTTTTACTGGCTATTTTAGTTGTTAATGATTCTGTTAAATTTGATGTTTGACAATGAAGAATTCTTCTGCAATGACACGTTGCTTGTATAATAGTTTTGCAACTTTTCTTAAATGTCATTGCTTTTCTGTCCCTTATCAAACATGGGATGGGATGTTCTTTGCATACTTGTCATCACTTTTACTTCCAATAAAATTAAAGTGGCTTGAATGAACATAAAAAATACCTCGGGGTCATCCAGTGTCAATGCTATGGTGCAGATCTAAAAAAACAAAGCCAGTGACTCGAGTGGAGTTGAATAAGAGAGTTAAACGTAAAGAACTGGAGAGAAAAGAATCTGCGTCGAAAAAGGTGGAGGGACTTTCCAAACAAATTGACAGGTAATATACTTTTGTTCTTCTACTACGACTTGTAATAATCACATCTTAACTAATTCTTTCTTCTTATGGTTGCAGCTTGGATGATATTATTCAAGAAATAGCCAAAGAGGACGAGGAGAAGCAGAAAAGACATCTGCGCCGAGTTGTAGCTAAGCAAGAAAGATTAAAGGCTTGTCCACCACGCTTGGGAAAGCACAAGTATGCTGTTTTCCTTTCCTCTTAAAAAAATTTGACATATTTTTAGTTTTGTTATTCCTTTTTGGTTTCCTGCTTATTAAGTGCATAAATAGAAGCAAATGTTGAAGTAACAAAGTGAATTTTGATTGGTAGAATCATCTTCTGGGTAATGTTTTCTCCATGATTTTAGTATGTTTCCATTCCCAAGTGGATCACCAAAGTAAAACATGAAACTAAGAACTTTTCAATATCTAAAACAGCATTTTTTGGATCCTTTTATTTCACTCCAACTAGTTTGAGGCGTATAACTAGTTTAAATTAAGGCATCTTAAGTTGTATAACTTTAAGCAAAACTGAAGCTGGACGGAGATTGAGGTCATCCAACTGATTAGAAGCTGAAGGTTTTCCCAATATTTTGAAAAATGTCATAAATATTTTTAGAATTGTGGTTTTCCAGTTGTATGTATTTGCAAAACTTTGTGATAGTACTTTCAGCACAATTGATATATTAACGAACAATTTTATTACAGATTTGAGCCAGCTCCTACTCAAGTCTTATTATCTGAAGAAATCACTGGATCCCTTAGAAAACTAAAGGTATGCTGAGTTTTCATTCTTGATGATTATCCTTTAAGTTACATGTTATTGTGCAAACCCTGAAAAATGAAACTTTACTTCTTCTTTTTTATTACATGAAGGGTTGTTGCACCCTTGTAAAGGATCGCTACAAAAGTCTGGAGAAAAGAGGATTAGTTGTGCCTCTCAAGAGCAAAAGGTCAGTCAAATCTCGCTGTTCTTTATTGTTTCACTTAATAGTGTTGCATATTGAGTAGCTTTGATACAAGTATGTCTTTTAGAACCCAAATAGAAGTTTTGGTGGGTGATTTCGTTTTCTGAGTAAAACTTAACTCATCCATTGTGCCATGACCTGTAACTGGAAAGCTATAAATTTTAGGACTAATATTTTATCATATGGATGCAACATTGTCCATGTAGCATCATCGTCGCATTTACATTTTGAGAGATTTTGTTAACGCAACAATCATAACAACACGTCTTTGTGTACATGGACAGGAAATAGATGGTTGTTTCACTTGTGAAGTCCTATGAGGGACAGTGTTATTTTTACAGATGGCATACCGGGCAACAGCATAAGATCCATTTTCAGAAGTTCTGTTCTCTATTTTTGTTATAGTTTTTTGTATAATTTGGTTCTTGTCAAATTAAAGTGGCATTTATTAGAATGAAGCTAGTCTTTCTTAACCCAGTTTTGAATTACAGAAGTTGAAAGAGTTGTTTGTATCAGCTAGTTCACCATCTCCTTGAATTCTTCTACCAGTAGCACTTCAATATGGTGTTTAATAGGTTTTAACTCCTATATTTGTTATGATAATTCTACATTTCTAAGTATTAATCGGCCAATTAAAGATTTAATTTCTTTTTCAACATAATATAGTCCAATGTTTTTAATCCCGGACTGCCCCTTGAACCGTTCAAGAGGCTGTTTACCGGTGATCCAGTAAGTTTGAAAGTTAATAGAAATACCCTGAGAAATCTCCATGAGTCCCTGCAGGTTAGAAATTCAGCAAACACACCCCTGTGATCCGTACAAGAAAAACCCTAGCCGTTGCAACCAAAGACTTGATTTCAAGTCTAAGCGGTTATTAACATACAACAAAACCAAACAAAAAATCAGTACCAAATTCCAAATTAACTAATTCATGCTATTAAACATCTAATTCAATAGCTCATAAAAGAAATAAAAAAAGGTCAAGTCTAAAACCAGTTTCATATCCCTGGATTGTCTCTCACTTTTCAGTTTCCACCATTTCCTCATCAAACCAGCCCCAACTCCAGTCCGGTTCAATATAAGACTTGTTAATTGTCTAAACATCGCTTTGGACCGGACAGGCAAAATAGTACCAAATAGCTGGACTGATTGACCTGGGACTTAAACCGATTCTTTTATTATCTTATTAATCTGTCATATAAATAAGAGTAAACGACATACTTCCACCCAAGGTTTGACGAAATCTTAAGTTGGTATCCCAAGTTTCATTTATTCTAGATTTTCACCCTTAAAATAACACTGTTAACAATTTTTAGGGCAGTGAGGGTGCAATTACCATAATGCTCTTAACCCTAAATTAATAAATTATGTTTTAACCCCTAAATTATTAAAATTATTAAATTAACCATCTTATTTTCAAATTACTTTAATTACACCCTCAGCGACTGCACATCGTCTCGGTTTTTACCAGATCTAGGTTGTTTTCGATGGCGTTGAGCCCCTTAGTCACCTCCATCACCTTCCCTATTGTTCGTCGTCCAAAACCCCTCTAGTTCTCGACTCATTAGCCCCTCCAATTGTTGGCACCGTTAGGCTTAGGTTTTCATTGTTCTTCAGTTGATTCCGGTCGATCCCAGTGACGAAAATCCAATTGGACATCACCACTACAACCAGTGTCTCCAAATCTACAAAATCCCTATGTCCCCAACAACCGTTTAGTGGTCATTTGTCGGTGGAGTCCGACGAAAACCAATCGCATGTGGCGGCTGGCGTGGCTGGCGATCGGCGAGTGATGAGAGGTTGTGAAGGATAAGGTTTTGTAGAGGAGAGGATGAGGGTTCGAATGGTGGTGACAATGATGATTTGGGGTGGAAGAATCGTTGGAAAAAGGGCGAAAAATGTCGACGGTGATGTTGGCTAACGTGCGCCAAAGCTTTATTAGGGGCGACGATCTGCTAATGTACGCCTCCTCTGCAAAATGACCAATTTACCCCTGAACCGTTATATCTAACCATTTTCCGTTACTTTAAAGGTGGGAATCTGGAAAAAATGGAACTTGGGGTATGAATTGGGATTTTGTCAAACCTTGGGTTGGGAATATGTGGTTTACTCTAAATAATAATGCTTACAATTGAAAACAAAAGAATATTATTTCCACTCTTTTCATAATAAACTGTTAAATACTAATACAAAACTTTTAATTTAAACTTGATATGAAACATATTTTTGGATAATTTCACAAGTCAACAACTAATCTATTAAATTTGAGAGCAGCTTTATTTATTTATTTATTTTTAAATTAAATTATAGCTTAGGTTATAAATCAGAAAATATATACGTAAATTGAATTAAACCGTCAGATTGTCACCTTCCACAGTCTCAACTCTCAAAAACTGTGAAACGCGTTAACCGAGTTGAAGCTCCATAGACAAAAAACTCTCAGAGAGAGAAAGCTTTAATAGAGTTTGTTTTGGAAGATAACACCATGCGCATGTTTGCATCCCAACTCAGCACTGTAGTTTCTTTCCCTCTAACTCTTACTCTGCTTCACTTATTATTATCTTCCAATTCTTCATTTTAAATTATTGTTTTGTGAAATATTGTGCAGTACCTGTGTAGACGAAGACCTGGGCATGTTCAATCCCGTAACTTCTCATCCCAGAATGCGAAAGGTGGATTTTTTACTTTTGTGTTTTTCTGGGTAATAATTTGATTCGGTAATGCACTGTTTGGTTGCAGAGAAATTAAAATTTTTCTTTTTAACTTGATTGACCTGTAGATGAGCTCGCTATTGAACAAGAAGCTGAAAGAAAGATAGGGTGGTTATTGAAATTGATCTTTGCTGGGACTGCAACTGCTGTTGGTTATCAGTTCTTTCCTTACATGGGTATGAGAATTGATTTTCTTGAATCGATTTTCGATTAGTTTATGTTATTGAAAGTTGCTTCCTTTGAAGGGTTCTTAACTTAATCTTATGATTTGCTAAAATTAGGAGATAATTTGATGCAACAGTCTGTGTCACTTTTGAAAGTCAAGGATCCCTTGTTTAAAAGAATGGGAGCTTCTAGATTAGCCCGTTTTGCAATAGATGGTAAAGATTTGGTCTTTCTTCTTTAATGGCATTATTATTAAGATTGGAGACTGTTTAAGGACTGCATCTGATATTGTAATTTTGGTTTGCTATTGATCACAGATGAGAGGAGGATGAAAATAGTGGAGATTCGTGGAGAGCAGGAGCTTGTAAATATGTTGGGAGATGCTAGAGACGATCGTACACGGAAAGAAGCACTGAAGGCTCTTGCTGCCCTTTCCGGCTCAGGTTAGTTATGTTTACATTCAGATGGTCATATGAGTTTAATCTTATGGATATAAAAGTTTGTAGTTTGTTTGTTTTTTCCAGAATATGTTAGTACTTTGTGACTAAGGCAATCACACTGATAAATTTATTTATAACTCTTCCAATATGTTGTATCCGTCAAACAATAGTTGAGAGGCAAACTTGGGTAGGGTAAGTGAACCATGAGTAATCTCACCTGTGTGAAGCTATATCCTTCCTTGAAGTGGGCAAATTGAATGTGGAGATCCATGAGATATTACAATTATAGAGTGCATTAAACCTTTTGTGTTTGAAATGTGGACTAAAATAAGTGATGCCTATTATTACATATATTTGTTTTCCCATTGTCCTGTTACACAGATGAAGCAGTTGGAGCTTTACACCGTGCTGGGGCAATATCAGCTATAAAGTCCACTCCACAATCCTTTGAGGATGCTGAAATCGAGAAATATAAGTCAAGCCTACTCAAGAGATTCCAAGATCTGAGATATGATATACCGTCTTGAGATTTTCTGATGATAAAACTAGTTTGTTCAGCTTTAAACGTGAGACACAGTTTTGTGAGAAAGCAATCTCCAAATTTGGAAGAGATATGTGTTTTACCAGGGAAAATTAAAGTGCCTCGTATCTTCTTGTTCACTCTAATAAAATGAGTTGAAAACTTATCCTTCATGCAATTGTTTTTGTCTCTCATATGCAACAATATTTTCTGTTTGCTTATTTTGTGTAACTGGTGGTAAATCATAAGAGTCTATATGCCAATGACTCTGATTTGTATTGAAAAAACGTTTTTCTCTGCTCTAAAGTTGACAATATAGTGTATTAAATTACTGTGACTAGGCAACACTTGCACCGTTGATGGCTTTGCTCATGGTCTTGGTAATTCGTTTGGCTGCGAGGCAGACTCATGCCATGCACATATATATGTACTGGTGTGGGTATGGATTGTCTTGAGTGGATGGTGGAATTGTTTAACAAACGTGCTCTGATGTTGAATTTCTTTAGTGGATCATATGAATTACCCTAAACAAACCTTTGACTTTTCCCCATTCCGACGTATTTACCACAGGCCTCTTAGATCTTCCCTCTATCAAACCTGATTTGTTATTCTGTTCTTTTATATTATCCATAAAAAGTTGAGTTCAATGGATGAGATTTTACGTGAATTGTTTAAAGTTGAGGCAATGGAGCTATCAACTTAAAAAGTGTTCAAAGGCCTGTCTCTCTGCTAACCATTCTCATATTTGCTTGCATATTCCCACTGAAACCTTAAAATGGAATTGATCAAGAGTCTAAGACCTATTTCACTTTTGTTTTCCGAATAAGTGTAATCATTTCCCAATAAGATTGGTGAAGCTCTGGAGCTTATTCAAGAATGAGCTCTTGATGATGAAAAATCTTTTCCAGGAATAGTTCAATGATAATAAAAATAGAATATACAATGGAAACTCAAACAATAATATATGGCAATTGGCAAATGATATCTGTAACTTCTGTTCAAAGAAGTCTTATTTCCAGGAAATTCGACAATGTCCCTAAAGAAGTCTATTTATTTTTTAAATTAAATTATTTATAAGTTAGTAGTTTATAAATCAGAAAATAGTATGGTGTATGCTGTGATATAAAACAATGTATTCTCTAAGGATCTGCATTTTTCACGATATCACCATCCAAAGGCTGTTAGGTGGCCACGTCACTTAGTGGAATTCAGATTTGGGCGATAAAGGAATGAAAAGGTGGTCATGCAACTATTTCCTTGGTAGCATATAACAAGAGTTGGTTTTTGCTGTCAATACACTGATGCCCTATTTCTCTCTCAAATCTTCTTCTGTTAGATAACACCATGCGTATCTTAGCATCCCGACTCTCCACTGTAATTTCGTTCCCTCACTCTGCTTCACTTCTCATTATCTTCTAATTCTTCATTTTAATTTCTTATTTTTTTTGCAGTTTCTGTGTAGAAGACGACCTGGGCATGTTCAATCCCGTCACTTCTCATATCACAATGACGAAGGTGGATTTTTTTACTTTTGTGTTTTTCTGGGTAACAATTGGATTCGCTAATGCTCTCTTTGGTTGCAAAGAAATTTAAAATTTTTCTTTTTCACTTGATTGACTTGTGGACTGAAATACATCTTAGTGATGTCTGTGTTTGCTGGGTTTGCAACTTATTTGGGTTATCTACAATTTAGTGTTCTTTTCATGGACATGAGAATTGATTTTCGACTAGCTGATGTTATTGAAAGTTGCTGCCTTTGAAGGGTTCTTAACTTAATCTTATGATTTCCTAAAATCAGGAGATTATCTGAGTGTAGCTATGACACTTTTGAAATGCCGTGCTTTTAATCACATGATTGGAGCTCATATGTTAGAACTTCATGCAACAGATGGTAAAGATTTGTTCTTTCTTCTTTAATGGCATTATTGTTAAGATTGGAGATTGTTTATGGACTGCATCTCTTATTGTAATTTTGGTTTGGTATTGATCACAGATGAAAGGAGGATGAAAATAGTGGAGATTGGTGGTGCTGAGGCGCTTGTAAATGTGTTGAGGGATTATAGAGGCAGAGACTATGATACACGGCTAATCGCACTGAAGGCTCTTGCTGCCCTTTCTGGCTCAGGTTAGTTATGTTTGCATTCAGATGCTCTTATGAGTTAATCTATGGATATAAAAGAGAATATGATACTACTGTGTGACTAAGGTAATCACACTGATAACATTTATTTATATCTGTCAAACAATGGTTGAGAGGCAAAATTGTGTAGGGTAAGTGAACCTTGAGCAATCACGCATGAGAAGCTATGAAGTGGGCAAATTGAATGTAAAGATGCATAAGATATGACTATCATAGAGTGCATTAAACCTTTTGTGTTTGAAATGTGAAGTACAATAAGTTATGTCTATTATTACAAATATTTGTTTTTCCATTGTCCTGTCACACAGATGAAGCTGTTGGAGCTTTACACCGTGCTGGGGTTATATCAGTTATAAAGTCCACTCAACCAACACTTGTACTGAGCAGATATCCATTTCCCCAATGTAATGATCAAGAAATCGAGGAATACAAGTCAAGCCTACTAAAGAGATTCCAATTGCGTGACATCGAAGAATACAAGTCAAGCCTACTAAAGAGATTCCAAGATTTGGGATATGATATATCATCCTCAGATTGTGAGAAAGCGATCTCCTAATTTGGAAGAGACGTGTGTTACCCTGAGATATGATATACCATACTCAGATTGTGAGAAAGCAATCTCCAAATTTAGAAGAGATATGTGTTTTACTCTAATAAAGTGCCTCGTATCTTCTTGTTGATTCTAAGAAAATGAGTTGAAAATTTATCCTTCGTGCAATTGTTATTGTCCCTCATATACAACAATATTTTCTGTTTGCTTATTTTGTGTAACTGGTGGTAAATCATAGGTGTCTATATGTCTATGACTCTGATTAGTATTGAAAAAAATTGTTTCTCTGCTCTAAAGTTAGACAATATAGTGTATTAAATTACTGTGTACTAGGCAAGGCATGCACCGTTGATGGCTTTGTTCACGACCTTAGTAATTCGTTTGGCTGTGAGGCCTACCCATGCCAACATGTGTATATTTGTATTGGTGTGGGTATGGATTGTCTGAGTGGATGGTAGAACTGTTAAACAAACTTGCTCTGATGTTGAATTTCTTTAGTGGAGCATATGAATTACCCTAAACAAACCCATTAATCCTGCCCTTTGACTTTTTCCCATTCATACGTATTTACCACAGGCCTATTTGATCTTCCCTCCTAAAAATATCCAACCTGATTTGTTATTCTGTTCTTTTAAATTATCCGTGAAAAGTTGAGTTTAATGGATGAGTTTTTACCTGAATAGTTTAAAGTCGAGGCAATTGAGCTGTCAACTTAAAAGAGTTCAAACTCCTGTCTCTGTGTACTGCAACCGATCCTACACGTCCAAAAAACTCCCTCATCACACCAGCGTACGTCGTTGAGTTGCCGGCCGGCATGCGTAAACCTCACTAGAATTTCAACAGATTGAGTTGCCGGCATGCGTAAACCTCATCAGAATTTCAATAGATATACCAGCAAGCAAGTAATGATCACAATCAACGCACGCAAAAACTGATATGACACGAAGGACCTTAAGGGTGGCGGGAATGGACATAATCTCAGCTCCAATAATACTAGTAGACACATTAAACACAGCCCCAGACATGGATGCACGACTTCTCAGCTTGTGGTTTGGCAGCAATGGCACTTGCACTCCGGCAGCCGGAGACATCTTTTCCGGCTACAGGGTGGTTCTGAATTTTGATGATGTTGTCTTGTTATACATTAATACACATTTAATGTGGACTATATAAGAAAGTATGGGGCACATGGTGATTGGTGGGAAGAGACCAAAACAACGTCGATAAAGATATGAGATTATATATAAGTGGAGCCCACAAAATAGAAGAAGGGAGGACATTGATGTAGACAAAAACTATCATTCATTGTAAATGCGAATTGATTAAAGATTATTCAATTTATTTCTTCATGGATGATCCATGTTTCATCAACAGAGAAACAAAATTTTCTTCTTCAACATTGTGGAGCAAATCGAAAAAGATTATTTCCTCTACATAATCAAAGACTTTATATGACATATGATATCCAAAACACAATAATATACGACATATGATATCTATAACTTGTCTGACATTCCAACTAGGGCTTCACTTGGCTTTCCCAATACTTCCATACCTCTTCCGCAGTGGTTCTAATTGTCTCACTCTCGTGATGTAGATAATCTCTTATTTCCATTCTCAACTGAAAATCAAAAACAATTAACGAAAAAACAATGTATTTTTCAATCAAGAAATACACATGTTTGATTATATACATACCAGTACATATTCCATCTTCTCCTCATCCATCAACATTCCTATTGCTTCAAAAGTCTGCAACAAGTTTTTGATGAATCCTCTCTCTACCTTTCGATTGTGGCGTGATTTTCTTGAGCTGATCTCAGATTTCCAATTAGCACATCATTATCATCAAGAATCATTGTTTCGATATCGAGATCGAGATCTTCAATTTTTATTTTCAATCTCTTTGAATCTTCAGGAGATTTTTCCCAGGTTTTCAACACATCCAAAACAGCTTCGGTCAAGTCACTATCCTTGATTGCGCTTTGAAGATCCATTCCAATCAAAAGAAATATTCTATTTTCCTCCTGATCAAGTTTATATTTTTTAACCTCCAGGGGATTCATCTCTGTACCTGCCTGCAACAAACAATATCACTTAATAGTTTTCCATGAAAGAGNAACGAAAAATCAATGTATTTTTCAATCAAGAAATACACATGTTTGATTATATACATACCAGTACATATACCATATTCTCCTCATCCAACAACATTCCTATTGCTTCAAAAGTCTGCAACAAGTTTTTGAATGAATCCTCTCTTTGCCTTCCGAGTGTGGCGTGATTTTCTTGAGCTGATCTCAGATTTGCAATTAGCACATCATTATCATCAAGAATCATTGTTTCGTTATCGAGATCGAGATCTTCAGTTTTTATTTCCAATCTCTTTGAATCTTCAAGAGATTTAGTAATCTTTTCCCAGGTTTTCAACACATCCAAAGCAGCTTTAGTCAAGTCACTATCCTTGATTGCGCTTTGAAGATCCATCCCAATCAAAAGAAATATTTTGTTTTCCTTGTGATCAAGTTTATATTCTTCAACCTCCTGGGGATTCATCTCTGTACCCGCCTGCAACAAACAATATCACATAATAGTTTTCCATGAAAGAATTAAAAAAACAATAACATGGATTCATATATACATAAAATTAAAAATTATATACGTGCCTTAACCAGCTTAAATTGTTGTCCGTTGAGGACATAATTCTTCATTCTTCTCAAATTGTAGATCTGTGCGTTAATGAGATCATCAATTTCTTTTGCCAGTCTCTTTAAATCTTGACGAAATTCAGCAATATTTCCTGATTTGTTATCCATAACTTTTTCTTCTTTCAATTCCCAAATATGAGATTAACTTTTTTTTATAAGAAGTTAAGGAGAGATCTGCTCAACAAAAGAATCCAAATCCGAAATTTACTAGATAAGTTAAAAGGAAATCAATTTTTGGTAGGATTCTTATAATAAAATAAACAGTAATATATATGTTCCTTATGTAAAAATAATAATAATAATAATAATAATAATAATTCAAAAAAATTCTTATATTTTAAGATTTTAACATCTATGATAAATACAAAGAAAAGAAGTGATTGGAATAACATAAAATAATTAAAAATATAAAAATAATAAATTCTATTCATATTTAAAGATAAATTGAGTTTTTATTTTAATTAAAAAATGGTTTTGTAACAATTTTACATGAATTTGCATAGGTATCTATAATTACTCAAAAATAATTTTGATCACTTATATGGTATGTGATGTAGAAAAAATATTGTTAAATTATAATTTGATTTTGTTTATTTATTTAGGGTTTCATAATAAGAATTTAAGTAGTTTTCTATTTTAATTTGGAGTTTAGTTTTAATTTAGTTAAGTTTTATAATTCCTTTTTTTTTTTTTTGTAGTATTTATTTTGTTATAATTACTTATTTTAATAGAATTAGATTTATGGGTTGTTAACATGTCTTATCCTCAGATTAAAAAAGTCTTTGTATCATTCATGGATTTAACCGCTAAGCTAAAGCTTATCTAATGCCTATCCAAATTCCACTATATCTTATCTTTACCATGACCCTTCAAGCAATCTGGGAAATGTTCTCATTTACAGTATTGGTCTTTGATGTTGGTCGTCGACCACCGATAATGCCCCAACTCTCAAATTGTCTATGTCGTGTTTGACGAGTAACAATGTGGTCAGGTAACTCCATACTCCTACTCAGGGGCTTCCATGTCAGCATCGCTTACCGGTTGATTGCATCCATAGCAAAGCTTGAAAGTTCCTTGTTCCAATCCATGTTCAACAGACACTAAGCACTCACCCTCCCAGAGGCTCTCGGTCTTTGGGACTTCCTCAAGGTATTTCAGAGTCCCTCCTCCTAAATGATACAACTTATAAATTCACCATGATCACATGTAAAATACCATAATAAGATATTTCACAAAGTAGGCTTTATTGGATTTAATGAGAGTCCAGAAAGAGATACCTCTTTGAAACCTTTGCTTAGGAGAAAACTGGAAGCCTTCTCACATCGAATTCCTCCTGTGCAGTACATTGCAACCCGCTTTCGCATTTTCTTTTTTGGACTCTTCACTTCTTTATTGGTGATTTCATTCATCTCTAATTCTGACTGATTGCCAGCAGTTTTCTTAAGTTGGAACTGATCATCCACCCAAGATGGAAACTCACGAAATGCTGTAGTAAATGGATTGACTGCTCCTTTAAATTTTCCAAACTCTAGTTTCATAGTTATTGCGCACATCTATCACCACCTAAATACATGTAACTTTGAAAGTAAGGAATGGTCTACAGAAGCGGCACCTACTCCTTGCATGTTTCATTAAGGACTATGCCAACATACAGCATGTATGGTTAGTCCAATCTCTTCTCATGTAATAACTATAAGAGATTTTGTAACATGATTATGCAGATGAATCACAGCATCTCATGGAGAACATGGAAAGCTACAGAAAGTTTCAAGGTTAAAGTTTTCCCTGGTGTCGATTATGCATTCATTGTGGCATTAATCGTAATCCATAGTGAGAATATCTTGAATTGGTGTCGGGTCTAAAATTGTCTGTCTCATGTAAAAATTGTAGCTAATACTGTATGTGTCTGATTCCATTTCCATACATTGTTGATATCTTCTTAGTAAAGTTAAATAAATTCTTGGTACTCTTCTCTAAAAGATTGAAAGATTTCACTTTTAAATTTCATCTGAAATATTTCTTTGGTGTTACAAACTTAGAAAATCCAAGGAAGGATATATAAATTCCTCTTCTAATCTACAATGTATCTGAGATTCTGAAGAAATAAATGAGAGAAATTGCAGCATACACAAGAAAACTGTCACCTTAACTGAAAGAATAAAAAACTAGGAAATGGATTATGAATTGTTTCCAAAGAAACTAACTATATTTGTGGAAATTGCAATTGCGCTGGTCACTACAGCCAGAATTATCATTACTAATGCGGTGATCCTATCCCTTGTTGTTGATATACCATGAACATCCCTGTAATCGAAAGACAACAACAGGATGAATCAGATTCATCAAAAACATCCATAGTTAGATATGTCAAATGCACCTTCAATTCGAATTACATGAATAATACCTGAGAACAATTGCCCCGGGGAAGATGAGGGCAAGAGAAACAGCAGAAGTTGATCCTAAGAACTGAAAGAAAGTCCATATGTCTGGGATGAATATTGCTGCTAGATAAGAGAATGCTAAAAGTACAAATGTGATGGACAAAAATCTGGTGGTGTCCTTGGCCAGAATAGGCTTTTTAGAGAAGAGGAGTTCGTCAATGTTAACCCTCAAGGAGAAGTTCAATAGGGGAAACACAAGCATAAGGTGAAGTGCATAGCTCAGCCTAACAATGTCATTGAGCAGTGAACCAACTGCTGAACCAGAACTTCTATCAAAATTTACAAGAATATCAGCCATGATTGAGTCTCCAAACAAAAGGTACCCAAATAGTCCTATTGTAAAGTAGATGGCGGCACATAATACCAGTGAAATTCTTACTGCTAAGATCATATCAGATGGTTTGTTGAGCTCGAAACCAATCGGATGAACTGCAAACAATGATAAGAAAAGCTAGTGAGAACTAAAATTTTAAAGAATACACAACAGGATCTAGTTATACAAGCTGTTCTCACCATTAAAATGAAATGTGAAAGCAGTCACAATGACGGGAACAGCTGTGAAAAGTTCAAAGAATGAGGTGTGATTGTTCAATTGAGGCAACAATCTTGGGGTTTTGGTTTTGCCTTCAACAAGTGCAGAAATTGCCATAACTGAGCATATACCAACAAACACCAGCGCCAATAGAACAGATATTGCAGAACTAAACTTCAGAGATTCTGAAAAAACGCCAGACGAATAAACTTCTAAATCATCAAATACAAAATCATCATTCAAGCTTCAAGAGACTCACCTACACGCCTGAGCAAAACCAATGGAAGCATGACAAAAACAACAATGAAAAGCAGAGAAAAAGCTCGAGAATTCCACCAATGAATCCCAAACCATTCTTGCAACACCCCCAAATGAGCTAACCCTCCAGGCTGATTCCCAGACAGAACATCACCTGTTGACAAAACAACCACAACATAGTTAAAAAAAGAGCCAATATTCCATTCATTTGAATTACGCTGAATCTCGAGCATAAGGTAATCTTACCAATAATAATCAAATAAATAATCAAGCACCCAAGATTAGTGATCATAATACAGATTTGTACTGCAACCGATCCTAAACGTCCAAAAGACTCCCTCATCACACCGGCGTACGACGTTGAGTCGCCGGCATGCGTAAACCTCATCAGAATTTCAACAGAGATATTAGCAAGGCAAGCAATGATCACAATCATCACAAAAGCTGGTATGACACCAAGGACCTTAAGGGTGGCGGGAATGGACATAATCCCAGCTCCAATAATACTAGTGGAAACATTAAACACAGCCCCGGACACAGATGCACGACTTCTCAGCTTGTGGTTTGGCAGCAGTGGCACTTGCACTCCGGCAGCAGGAGACATCTTTTCCGGCTAGAGGGTGGTTCTGAATTTTAATGATGTTGTCTTGTTGTAAATTAGAGCACATTTAATGTGGACATATAAGAAAGTATGGTGTATGGTCATTGGTGGGGTGGTGGGAAAAGACGAAAACAACATTGATAAAGACATAAGATGATTAATTTAAGCTAAGATTGAAGAGGGGTTAGATTGTACTTGTATTGGAAAGATTGTTAGAGTTTGTTTATGATGAGATTCCAGGTGGCGTATGAACGTACGTAGACTCAAGTTGTGAACAATTGGGAGAAGAAAATGAATGTGGACGCAAAATTGGGCTAAGTCTTGGTCTTCCCTGGCATAATTTGTCAATCTGAGTGTATTCTATTCTTTAAGATAAAAAGGAATAAGGCGTATTTGTCAGTTGCAAATAGAGCCCACAAAATAGAAGAAAATAGTTGGAAGTGGGGACATTAATGGTGAAATGTAGACAAAAACTATCATTCATTTTCAACAGTTTTCCCTTTTTTTTTTTTTTTTTTTTGGGTGATCTATTCCCAGACTAGTTTGTTCGTACCTCAACTAATCTTTCAGGATCATAAAGTTAACGACTGAGTATACACTATACTGGTTATCCTTTTTTAGCAATCGAGATTACTCGAACTTAGAACTTCTTCAGTAGTACACTTAATAAGAAAAATGATACAAGTCACCAAAAAAGGAATATCGAATTCATACATCAATAAACGTGACATTATCATGATCGTTGATTAATTATGAATTTTTCTTTTAAAAAAAGCAGATAATACCACGTCTGTTCGGTGTCTGAATTCAATATACCTTTTCAGTAATTGTAGCATTGCTCCACCCAATAATCCTTGTTCAACAACTTAGCAAAAAGAAGAAATGTGAATTATTATTATTCATGAATGTACATGTTCAAGATTATTCTATTTATTTCTTCATGGGCCCTAACAATTAAACAGTCATCCACTCCAACCTTACAAAGTGCTCTCTTTTTAAAAGCGCCATCAACAAAAGTTCGAACATATTATAATCATATAGGGCACTACATGTGAAACATGACTCCATCGTTTTTATGATTTTTTTGTCAATTAATGTTTGAAAGATTTTTGTATTTAGTTTGGCAGTCATAAGAGTCCAACGGTCGTAAATCGTGTATCGAAAATATAGTTTTTTAAATTATATATCGCATATTATATTGAATAGTAGGATACAACTTTTTTTAAAAATAATAATAAAATTAACGAATTTTGTTATATTATTGACTTTAAATTATAGTATTACATAATCAAAATTAATTATAAAATTAAGAATCTATATCATTTCCTCTCATCCATTCATATTATTTCCAAAATCAATGTCAGTATCTATATCTCTACTTGTGTTATTATTATCATGTAAAATGGGTGTCACATCTTCCTCTTCACTTTCTTTATGCAAAATGGATAAATTTGGACGGGTTTTAGTGAATAGGATTGGGTGACCTAGATCCGACCTGAAAATTTTGTTGGTTCGAACCAAATTAATAAAGTCGTATCAATTTGTATTGATATTTTTAAAGATACGAACCGATATATATCGTATCATATGATACATATTAATGTATCGAAAGGTTTAGGATACACTCTCTAATACATATCGTTGGCGACTCGTATTAAATCGTATCGTAAGATACGTATCGCATATCGTAGAATATTAATAACCATGGTCCAAACCATGGTTATCAAATTGTGTATCGTATCATGTATCGAAAACCTAATTTTTTGAATTGTGTATCGCGTATCATATCGTATCGTAGGGTACGCCTTTTTAAAAAATAAAAATAAAATAATCAAAATTTACTAAAAATTAATATCATCCCCCAGATTAATTAAAGAATTTTGTAGTATTATTGGCTTTAAATTATGATATTACATAATCAAAATTAATCACAAAATTAAGAATCTATATTATTTTCTCTCAACCATTCATATCATTTCCAAGATCAATGTCAATATCTATATCTCCACTTGTATTATTATTATATTAAAAAATGGGCAATACATGTTCTTCTTCGCTTTCTCCATGCAAAATGAGTAAATTTGGGCAAGTTTTAGTGAACCGGGTTGGATGACCCGGTTCCGACCCAAAATTGTTTTTAGGCTTTTGGCCCAAATTAATAAAGTTGTATCGATATTTTTAAGGATATGAACGGATACATATCAATATATCGAAAGGTTTAAGATACACTCTCTGATATGTATCGTTGATAACTTATATCAAATCGTATCGTATGATACGTATCGAGTATCCTATGATACTAATAACCATGGTCCAAACTCCATGAAATGAAGAGATATATTAATGGATATAGGTTCAACGAAGATATGCTAAGATTTGGAAGATTTTGATGTATTTTTAGTTTATACTTTATAATAATAATAAATTAAGGAATTGATGGTGGCATGAGTTGGCACTATTCTTTCATTCATTAAACAAATAAGCATCAAACCCATGATGAATATCTATATATATTATTTTGTGTAGCGCAGGTTGTCCAAGCTAGCTTACACGCTCCCACTAATCTTCAAAGGTCTTGAAGTTAAGGATCAGGTAAATTATCTAATGGTCACCCCTATTAGCAACCGAATCAAAGGGAATCAAACTCGATACCTCTAAAGTAATACACCCAAAGTCTGTATCGCCCCTCTCGATCACCCTGGGTGGTTAATGTCTATATTTTATTAAAAATTATACTTCAACCTCTAATGAAAATAGATGTTAAAATTTGGTTGATGTTATCTTTAATGTTAGAGAAAGAAGTATTTGAATGAGTCTACTCTTTACTACTAACGTTTATAAATAAATAAAAAAAAAAAAAAAAACCCCTAAGATATAAGAAATTATCATAACTTCTCCTCAAATTTGAAAAAAAAAATTGATCACTTATCTCCGTTTAATCATTAAAATCTATTGAGTCTTTCAATATTATCATGATCGGGATCATGGTTATCAAATCGTGTATCGTATCGTGTATCGAAAATCTAATTTTTTGAATCGTGTATCGCGTATCGTATCGTAAGATATGTCTTTTTCAAACAAATTAATAAAATAATCAAAATTTTCTAAAAATTAATATAATCCCCAAGATTAATTAAAGAATTTTGTAGTATTATTGACTTTAAATTATAGTATTACATAATCAAAATTAATCACAAAATTTTAAGATTAATGTCAATATCTATATCTCCACTTATATTATTATTATCATGTAAAATGGGCAATACATATTCCTCTTCACTTTCTTCATGCAAAATAGGTAAATTTGGACAGGTTTTAGTGAATCGGGTTGGGTGACCCGGTTTTGACCCAATTTTTTTTTGGACCTTTGGCCCAAATTAATAAAGTTGTATCGATTTATATCGATATTTTTAAGGATACGAACGGATACATATCATATCGTAGGATACATATCAACATATCGAATGGTTTATGATACACTCTCTAATACGTATCGTTGACGACCTGTATCGAATCGTATCGTATGATACGTATCGAGTATCGTAGGATACTAACAACCATGATCGGGATAGTAATTAGTAAGTTATGATTTTATGAAATATGAGAGGAGGTAAATGATGATTTCTAATACTTTTGGGGTCTCGGATAAGTCATTAAACTTTGGGGAGGTATCAAGCTTAGTTAAATATTGATATGGGTTTACATATTTATCCTTTTTCAATTGTCATTCTGTTCTTGTTAAGCCCAATCTCAGGCCCAAGCTCAAGCCCAAGAAGAGCCACCACTACCATTAGCAGCGGCTCTGAGACTCAAATCCTGACCAAGACCAAGCATTTCCCTTGACCCTATCAATTCCCGTTCATTTTCACCATTTGTTTATTTTTGTTTTCAAATCCTTCTTCCAATTTCATTTCTGTGCGAACGTTAACGAAAATGGGAGATCAGATGGCTCGAGCCGAAGAATATGAGAAAAAAGCGGAGAAGAAGCTCAATAGCTGGGGCTTATTCGGCTCCAAATACGAAGACGCCGCCGATCTCTTTGATAAAGCTGCCAATTCTTTCAAGCTCGCCAAGTCATGTAATTTTCAAACACTATTTCATTTTCTTTAACTGTTGAAACTTATGTTTCGACGATCGCGTGGAGTATTAGGGTTTATTGTTTTGTTACCAGTGGTAATTCTTGATTATGGATTGTGATGCGTTTTAGGGTTTGTTTCGATTGGGTTTTGATATAATTTTTACAATTGATGAGTTTCTAATTGATCAAGTTGTCATATTTTGCTCTGAAATGTTAGATTCCAATGGGTATAATGTGTTGAAATTTTATGTGAATGTTTGATGCTTTTAGATAGTTGAGAATGCGAATTTTTTCTTTGGATTACAAGCTTAATGAATGTTTTAAAGTTTTGCTGATATGGGTACTTGGCATATGAATTAAATTTTGCTGGGGCTTTATGATGACTAATGGAAGTTGTTTGCTATTTAATGTTCATGGTACAATCTTAAATTAATTTATTATTTTGGTTAATAGATTTTACCTGCACTGCATGCCTCTGCTATGTTTTATTGATCATGGTTTATATATGGTTTTGCAGGGGATAGAGCTGGATCAACTTATGTCAAGTTGGCGAACTGTCATATAAAGGTAAGTGTTTTAGGTGTTTGGTAAATACTAATAGCAGTCTTTTTATGAACTAAAAGAGGAAAAGAGGAACCTTTATTTTATTAAGCGATTGTTCTTAAGGACTAAACGTGATTATATGACTTATTTCTATAGTTGGAAAGCAAACATGAAACTGCCCAAGCTTATGTTGATGCTGCTCATTGCTATAAGAAAACAAATGCCAAAGGTAAGTTTGTGGCTTCTCACCCTGGCTAATTGTTACATGTTGCAATTTCAATTGCTTTTTAATTTTCTTCAAGGTCCATTTTGGCTCATGAAGAAACCAAGTCAACAAGTCATTTTGTGGTCTTTTGCTTGTTTTCTTGCATTTCTTATGTATTATTTGATGGATTTTGGTTGTAAAGGTTGAGAAAATGTCATTAAAGTTTTACTCTTGTGCAGAGGCCATATCTTGCTTGGAACAGGCTGTAAATATGTTTTGTGATATTGGAAGGCTCAGCATGGCCGCAAGATATTACAAGGTATTGTAATGCCTGTTGATATTTCTTATCTTAGTTTGAATTTTTCTAAGTCTATACATGTTTTTGGGGTCCTACTCTTTTAATGTTGCCATTTTTTACGACATTGTTAAAACTTATAGAAGTTGGTTTTCCCTTCTTTATGATGACTTTCAGTCACTAACGACCTGGTTGTTCTCTTCTCTGCAGGAAATTGCTGAACTATACGAGTCTGAACAGAACATCGAACAGGCTATTGTTTACTTTGAGAAGGCAGCTGATATGTTCCTAAATGAAGAAGTAACAACTTCTGCAAACCAGTGCAAGCAGAAAGTTGCACAATATGCTGCTGAATTAGAACAGTAAGCCAATCTGCTTTTGGTGCATGTTGTCTTGAGATGTCATATTGCTTTTGGATACTGTATATTCATGATCATGTGATATAGTTTCCATATTAATGAATGTATAAAATCTTTTATAAAAGGATTGTTAGATATCGAGAATGAGTAAAAATTACGCATGAGTTGTCATTATGATTCTTAATTTGCATACCTTGATGCTTTCAAAGTGGTGGTTGCTGTTTTGCATATCTCTTTGTAAGAGCTTAGGCATAAGCACCATCTTTGGAAATTACTTGGAACTTTCTGCGAAGTGTTTTCACGGGATTCCTTAACATTCTGCCTTCTGGCTACTGTGTATCAATGATCAGTCTTATCATTTTGATATGATTTTGGCTAACATGTGATATATTAGCATCCATGCTATGTCTGATTAGCTTTTAGTGCTTATATTTATGAATGGAATGACAGGGTTTATAGTCTGAAAATAGGTTTTTCTGGCTTACATATTGTTTACCTATACATAGCTGTAACATACCCATAAGTTTATCACAGCAAATTGCAAAGTAAATATGACAGCAGAAAGTGAAGATTGTGGTATCTATCTGTGCAGGGCTTGTTAGACCTTACTTTCACATAAATTTTCAGTACTCTTTTCTCTTTTTACTCCCTTTAATAGTTTAATTAAAAATTAAGAAGTTTACTGACTGGGGTGTCATGACGTGCTTATGACATTTCTCCAGATATCAGAAGGCAATTGAGATTTTTGAAGAGATAGCAAAGCAGTCACTCAACAACAACTTGCTAAAGTATGGAGTGAAAGGACATCTTCTTAATGCTGGCATTTGCCAACTTTGCAAGAGCGATGTTGTTGCAATTACCAATGCATTAGAGCGATACCAGGTTTAGTTTTACTTTTTTATTTTTGATCTTTTAATGAATTTTCAGTGTTTAGTTTATGTTGACAGTGCTAATCACATTTGTCTTTGCAGGATATGGATCCAACTTTTTCAGGAACGCGTGAATACAGATTGTTAGCGGTAGGTTATATGTACTTGCATTTTGATTTCTAATGGCAAATCTTTTATAATATGTTCCCTATATAAGTCATTTCAGTAATCTTGCTGTTACCTTTATTTCCTTGTGATATTGTAATCTCAAAGAGCCCTTCTTTTCCATTGGTGTGCTAGGACATTGCTGCTTCCCTTGATGAGGAAGACATTGGAAAGTTTACTGATGTTGTTAAGGAATTTGATAGCATGACCCCTCTGGTATATTTCTCTCCACTTATTGTATAAGCTCTTTTTAATTTTGGATTTAAATCTTTTTATGTAGCAATGGTGCTAATTGTTTTGGTTGCAATCACACTTCAAACTTTAGATACTGGAAAGATTTTTGAAAAATGTAAGCAACACCCCCAAATGAGCTAACCCTCCAGGTGATTCCCAGACAAACATCACCTGTTGACAAAACACCCACAACATAGTAAAAAAAGAACCAGAATTCATTAATCTGAATTATGCTGAATCACAAGCATAAGGTACTTACCAAATAATCAAATAAAAATCAAGCACCCAGATTAGTGATCAATAACAGATTTGTACTGCAACCGATCCTAAACGTCCAAAAGACTCCCTCATCACCACCGGTACGACGTTGAGTCGCCGGCATGCGTAAACCTCATCAGAATTTCACAGAGATTTACAAGGCAAGCAATGATCACAATCACACAAAGCTGGTATGACACCAGACCTTAAGGGTGGCGGGAATGGCCATAATCCCAGCTCCAATAATACTAGTGGAAACATTAAACACAGCCCCGGACACCGATGCACGACTTCTCAGCTTGGTTTGGCAGCAGTGGCACTTGCACTCCAGCAGCCGAGACATCTTTTCCGGCTAGAGGGTGTTTCTGAATTTTAATGATGTTGTCTCTTGTAAATTAGACACATTTAATGTGGACATATAAGAAAGTATGGTGTATGGTCATTGGTGGCTGGCGGTAAAAGACCAAAACAACATTGAAAAAACATAAGATGATTAATTTAAGCTAAGATTGAAGAGGGGTTAGATTGTACTTGTATTGGAAAGATTGTTACAGTTTTTTATGATGAGATTCCAGGTGGAGCTAGTGAAATGCGGCGTATGAACGTACGTAGACTCAAGTTGTGAACAATTGGGAGAAGAAATGATTGGGACGCAAATTGGTCTCTGGCATAATTTGTCAATCTGAGTGTATTCTATTCTTTAAGATAAAATAGTTTGAAGTGGGACATGATGGTGAAATGTAGACAAAACTATCATTCATTTCAACAGTTTTTCCTTTTTTTTTTTTTTTTTTTTTTTTTTTTTGGGTGACCAATTCCAGGTCAGTTTGCTTGTATTTCAACTAATTTTTTCAGGATCTAAATTAACGACTGAGTATACACTATAGTGGTTATCCTTTTTAGCAATCGAGATTACTCGAACAGAACTTTTTGAGTAATACACCCAATAGAAAAATGATACAGTCACCAAAAAGGAATATCAAATTCATACACATAAACTGCACCATCATGACCGTTGATTAATTATGATTTTGTTTTTAAAAAAACGGATGTACCACGTCGTTCGGTGCCTAATTCTGTATTTATAGCATTGCTTCAACCAATAATCCTTGCTCAACAACTACCACCAAGGGTGGTTAATTTTGCCTTTCTTCAACTTTCAACTTATGTTAACCCAAACGTAAAAAGAAAGTGAATCATGATATACACCATTACATATTCAAGTTATTCTATTTATTTCTCATGGGCCCTAACAATTAACCATCATCCACTCCAACCTTACAAAGTGCTCTCTTTTTAAAAGCGCCATCAACAAAATTTCGAACATATTATAATCATATAGGGCACTCCATGTGAAACATGACTCCATCTTTTTATGATTTTTTGTCGATTAATGTTTGAAAGATTTTGTATTTAGTTTGGCAGTCATAAGAGTCCAACCGTTGTCAAATCGTGTATCAAAAATATAGTTTTTTAAATTATATAGTCGCATATTTATTGAATGTAGGTACAACTTTTTAAAAATAATAATTTTTTTAAATTAATCATAAGATTAATTAACAATTTTGTTATATTTGGCTTTAAATTATGGTATTATATATCAAAATTAATTACAAAATTAAGAATCTTATCATTTCCTTCATCCATTCATATTATTTCCAAAATCAATGTTAGTATCTATATCTCTACTTTGTTATTATTATCATGAAAATGGTTAGTCACATCTTCCTCTTCACTTTCTCTATGCAAATGGATAATTTGGACGGGTTTTAGTGAATTGGATTGGGTGACCTAGATCCGACTTGAAAATTTTGTTGGCCTTCGAACCAATTAATAAATGTATCAATTTGTATTGATATTTTTAAGGATACGAACCGATTATATCATATCAATGTATCGAAAGTTTTAGGATACACTCTCTGATACATTCGTTGGCGACCCATATCAATTGTATCGTAAGATACGTATCGCATATCGTAGATACTAATCACCATGGTCCAAACCATGGTTATCAAATTGCTATCGTATCGTTGTATCGAAAACCTAATTTTTTTAATCGTGTATCGCGTATCGTATCGTATTGTATAGTAGGATACGCTTTTTTTTTTAAATTAAAAATAATAAATAAAATAATCAAAATTTACTAAAATTAATATCATCCCCAAGATTAATTAAAATTTTGTAGTATTATTGGCTTAAATTATGATATTACATAATCAAAATTAATCACAAAATTAAGAATTATATTTTTTTTTCTCTCAACCATTCATATCATTTCCAGATCAATGTCAATATCTATATCTCCACTTGTTATTATTATCTTAAAAAATGGCCAACACATTTTCTTCTTCACTTTCTCCATGCAAAATGAGTAAATTTGGACAGGTTTTAATGAACCGGGTTGATGACCCGGTTCCGACCCAAATTTTTTTTAGGCTTTTGGCCCAAATTAATAAAGTCATATCGATATTTTTAAGGATACGACCGAATACATATCAATATATCGAAAGGTTTAGGATACACTCTCTGATACGTATCGTTGACACTTGTATTGAATCGTATCGTATGATACGTATCGAGTATCGTATGATACTAATAACCAGGGTCCAAACTCCATGAAATGAAGAGATATATTAATGTATAGGTTCACGAAGATATGCTAAGATTTGGAAGATTTTGATGTATTTTTAGTTTATACTTTAAATAATAATAATTAGGAATTGATGGTGGCATGAGTTGGCACTATTCTTTCATTCATTAACAACTAAGCATCAACCCATGATGATATCATATAATTATTTTGTGTGATCGGGGTGTCCAAGCTAGCTTACACGCTCCTCAACTAATCTTCAAAGGTCTTGAAGTTAAGGATCAGTTAAATCATCTAATGGTCACCCCTATTAGCAACCGAATCAAAGGGAATCAACTCGATACCTCTAAAGTATAACACCCAAAAGTCTGTATCGCCCTCTCGATCACCCAGGGTGGTTAATGTCTATATTTTATTAAAAATTATACTTCAACCTCTAATGAAAATAGATGTTTAAAAGTTTGGTTGATGTATCTTTAATGTTTAGAGAAAAGTAGTTTGAATGAGTCATTACTCTTTACTACTAAGTTTATATAATAAAAAAAAAAAAAAAAAAACCCTAAGATATAAGAAATCTATCATAACTTCTCCTCAAATTTGAAAAAAAAAATTGATCACTTATCTCCGTTAATCATTAAAATCTATTAGTCTTTCAATATTATCATGATCGGGATCATGGTTTACAAATCGTGTATCGTATCGTGTATCGAAAATCATTTTTTTGAATCGTGTATCGCGTCGATCGTAAGATATGTCTTTTTCAAACAATTAATAAAAATCAAAATTTTCTAAAAATTAATATAATCCCCAAGATTAATTAAAATTTTGTAGTATTATTGACTTTAAATTATAGTATTATAATCAAAATTAATCACAAAATTTTAAGATTAATGTCAATATCTATACTCCACTTATATTATTATTATCATGTAAAATGGGCAATACATATTCCTCTTCACTTTCTTCTGCAAATATGTAAATTTGGACAGGTTTTAGTGAATCGGGTTGGGTGACCCGGTTTTGACCCAATTTTTTTTTGGACCTTTGGCCCAAATTAATAAAGTTGTATCGATTTATATCGATATTTTTAAGAGATACGAACGGATACATATCATATCGTAGGATACATATCAACATATCGAATGGTTTATGATACCCTCTAATACGTATCGTTGACGACCTGTATCGAATCGTATCGTATGATACGTTTCGAGTATCGTAGGATACTAACAACCATATCGGGATAGTAATTAGTAATATGATTTTATGAAATATAGAGGAGGTAATGATGATTTCTAATACTTTTGGGTCTCGGATAAGTCATTAAACTTTGGGGAGGTATCAAGCTTAGTTAAATATGATATGGGTTTACATATTTATCCTTTTCAATTGTCATTCTGTTCTTGTTAAGCCCAATCTCAGGCCCAAGCTCAAGCCCAAGAAGAGCCACCACTACCATTACAGCGGCTCTGAGACTCAAATCCTGACCAAGACCAAGCATTTCCCTTGACCCTATCATTCCCGTTCATTTTCACCATTTGTTTATTTGTTTTCAAATCCTTCTTCCAATTTCATTTCTGTGCGAACGTTAACGAAAATGGGAGATCAGATGGCTCGAGCCGAAGAATATGAGAAAAAGCGGAGAAGAAGCTCAATAGCTGGGGCTTATTCGCTCCAAATACGAAGACGCCGCCGATCTCTTTGATAAAGCTGCCAATCTTTCAAGCTCGCCAAGTCATGTAATTTCAAACACATTTCATTTTCTTTAACTGTTGAAACTTATGTTTCGACGATCGCGTGGAGTATTAGGGTTTATTGTTTTGTTACCAGTGGTAATTCTGATTATGGATTGTGATGCGTTTTAGGGTTTGTTTCGATTGGGTTTTGATATATTTTTACATTGATGAGTTTCTAATTGATCAAGTTGTCATATTTTGCTCTGAAATTTTAGATTCCAATAGGTATAATGTGTTGAAATTTTATGTGAATGTTTGATGCTTTTAGATAGTTGAGAATGCGAACTTTTGTAATTTTGAATTTATAATTTGTAATTTTATTTTTGTTAACAAGTGCCAAGGGGGAATGGGGTATTTGCAAGTTTTTAAGGGTTTTTTTGACATTTTAAAAACTTTTA